CTATCGTTATCAAAAGAACCTAAATGAACCTAAAAAAGAGTATGTTAATAAATTGTGTAACAATAGTAGGATAATACAGTATATGAAAATTCGTTCTGATAATTCGTCTGTGCAAATTGTCAGTTATGTAATTATTATTATTATTATTGACATAACTGACAATTTGCACAGACGAATTATCAGAACGAATTTTCATATACTGTATTATCCTACTATTGTTACACAATTTATTAAAATACTCTTTTTTAGGTTCATTTAGGTTCTTTTGATAACGATAGCAGAAAATAGCTATCGAAACGTCAAGATAATTTCTTCAAATTAATTTCTTTACTAATTGGAATTTTCTCTTACAGCTTGAGCCTAAGTGTGTCGCAGGATACCCTCTAGGTGATAGTTCTTGATTACTTTTTGATAAATAATTCGTTCTTATTGCGAAATAGGAGCACTATTTATAAATCTGTAATAAAAGACGTGAGGAAATTATGTCTTTTTTAATTACAAAAATTTTTGAGGCGAAATACCCAAAAAGAAGTTTGTAAAAAAATGAATCCGCCTCAACAATATAGAACTTATCTACAATATAGTTAGTGTTGAATCGTTGAATTGAGGGTGCGATAAATCAAAAGAAAAAAAACAGACATCAATTCCAAAAGAGGAATTATATGGAAGTCTCTGCATTCGTTCATTTAGTATGTAGCTGATACTCAAAGAGCGAAAACAGCGTCGTTTATAGCATTCCAACAAACTATTTTTATTAAAAACAACAACTATTAATACTATTTACTGGGAATAAGAAACCAAGCTCTTAATAAGCGAAATGAAAAACACAACACACAGAATTGGCGAAATTAACTCTGTTTATGACGAGTTTCACTTTCTGGAGCATGGCAAAGATTTTCTAACTAGTAGTGGTGAACAAAGAATTGTTTATAATGTGTACAAGACAATTAAAGAAGAAAGAGATCGGAATCCGTTGAAACGAACCAGTGAATTAGTTGGAATTGATATCAAGCAACTGAAAGAAATGTTAAAACGCGAATATGAATATAGGAAAAATGCCCGAAGAATGAGGAGGAGCAACGCGAAATCCCACAAGAAGGTATCAAAGAGTTTCAATTTTCAATTTTGTACGAGAAGAATTTATTTGAAACTAGATCACAATGTATTTTTTCTTAACGTGATTGGTCATTCAGAAACAATCAGGTTGTAGTTGAAAGAGTAAATTAAATAAATACAACGTATAAAAAATTGCCCCACATCTAATAATCAGAAGGCAGGTGTTGAAAATTAAAACTGGGGGTTCAAATTACATTCTCTACTTTTGAAATGGTGTTTTAAAAAAGATGAATTTAACTTCACAATATTTAAACAGTATTGCTTACAGTTTGGCTTGTTGGTTTCCAAGTTTTCATTTCCGAATCCGTAGTGAAAAGATATACATATATTTCATTCAAGTACTTCAAAGCTCACCGAAATATTATTTCTTTTAGCTACGAATATAAAATTCAGCAATGTTGAAAGGTGCTTGGGACAAATTATAGTCGACAGGACTATTCAACTTTCGAATTAGGTTCAGATACTTGGGATTTTTGTCCTCAATCACATATTTTGTTAGGCAAACTTGAAACAATCATTCAGATAGTGCGATTATTGTGCGCCTTGAGGCAATTCAAAAAACTTCCATCATTACCCAAAAGACATAAAATATATTCGCATTTTACGATTATGGTCGATACAGCCAATTTTCCCCATAATTTATTTCTTTTCATATTTTGGGCTTGGTTTTTTTTAAGGGGTGTGACGTATTTACAGATAAACATCTGCCTTAGAAAGCGGGACTAACGTAACTAAAACGCTCGCATTTCGGCAGCAAATGCTCGTTTGTTAAGAGTACAAATCGATGGAAAATATATGGTATCCAATTGAAATAAAATTGAACATGTCCCACAGTGTGCAAATACCGTATAAGATGGTTTTATGTGTTTGTCTCCTACGAAATATGTAATTTAACTAAATTAAATTATAAATTATTCGCATTCATTGTACATCGTTGTGCCATTAGTGCAGTTATGTATTATGAAAGTATCAAACAGAGCCACAGAAAACGTGTTTTCGATAAAAAGAAATGTTAGGAACCATCGGATTTAAGTGGAATAAGATTAATTAATTCTGAATCTGTTGTGACATAACAACATAAGATAAGAAAGTTGTTAAATCAGCCAAGATGTTAAATTGGTTTGCGCTAAGACGATAGGGCTCAAGAAAGAACCAAACCGATGAAAGTGGCTTCAATGATTTTTAGAGAAAAAAAAGTCGAATGATAAATTAGTCCCTTCTATACTGCCTATTTGAAAACTCTCTGCCAGACTGAATTATGCCTCTCAAATATACTGCTTTAATTAGTTGTGATTTTATTAAATCGGGAAGAAAATAGAACAGCAATGAAAATGCATATAGAATCACCTGAAATAGCTGTCTTCTTCCTAACGTTTCGCAAGCACGAGCGACTTGCATCTGCAGAGATGACTGCTCGAAAATTTGCATAAAACTGATTAAGTTCTGCCCCCTACGAACTACTTACAAAGACAAAAGTCTTTGAATTTGTTGTCTTTGGAGAAAACTCATTGGAAGGACTCATATTAGAATTAGAAAGCAGGTGTTACGAAAAACTGTTTAAAAGAGTTTCCATCAGAAGGTATTCTTTAAACCATGTCTTGAAAAAGTCACGGTGAACGTCCAATTTCATTTTGAGTCATCAGAAAGTAACCGTAAAATATCCAACCCAAAGCTTGATAACTGTGCATTGTTTCAGCCATTACTTGGAAAATATTCATCATGAAAGAGATGGAGAATGAAAGTGTAAAGATTTAAATTAAATCTAGGAAATTAACGGTCTGCAGAAAGAAGAAATGTTACTTATTTGGTATATACAGCTGTAAAATTGTCATCCGAATTACAAAAAAATGGAAAATTACACTGACTGGTTAAAGAACTTTAAAAAACAAGAAAACAATTATTAATCAGAATCAGAATATATAATAGCCGACAAAAATAATAAACCCGAATAATAAACAGGCATTTATACAAATAAAGATGATTTGCAATCTTTAAACAAAACTGATTAGTCCATTTTAGTCGGTAAGCAAACGTTTACCAGCTAAATTAAAATATAGCAATATAATTTTCTATAATTAACGCGCAAATACGTTCAAGTTAAAAGAAAATCCAAGGCATTGTTAAACCAAACCATGCAAAATTCATCAAAAACAAACTAGCCGGATGTTGCAAAGGGTCAAACATATTCATTAAACGATCAAATATTTGCCTCTCAAAAAGCTTGTTTGAACACGCTTTTCTTTTCGACATATATTTCTCTTCAGATCTGCACTGTTTACGAGAGGTCCTTTGTTTTCATTCTGTGTTAAAAGCTTAAGCGCTGTGAGCTCGTTAAAAGTAACTACAACCACGTGCATTCAGACAGAATGCACAAATTTTGAAATCCCAAATAAATTATTATGCGCCAAATAAGGTGTATGAACCTTAAATAAGTATTTATACAATTGTATATCAGGATGATGCTGAGTTATTGTTATTTCTCTTCCTCGATTCTATTAAGTGAAAAAACGGTTTGATCTTTAAATGATTGTAAGGGAATGCTAATAATTGACGATCCTGCACTTGTTACTTTTGCAAAATTTTTGATCTCTAAACCAACGCTCCCTGAAAAATAGGCAATCATCCTCAACAATTTCCAAATACGTTTAGTTTCCCTTTCTGAAAAGATAAAAATCCCTTAAATGGGTTTTCTCAAATTCTCCACGAAAAATTTTATCGCTGCGCCTCTAAAAGAATTTAATATTAATTGCGGAAATACTTCTCCAGAAAATCCATAATAGAGGGTTCCGGAATTTTAATTAATGAGTTCCGCCACGGTATGTGTTGGCTTAGTTTCTGGAATTGGGCATTTTTCAGATACCTCAAATCCTATTCTAGCTGAACGGAAAAAACATCAATAGCGACTTTTCCAGTATTCCAGTTCTAAATTTATTTAAACGGATTTTTTCTGCTTGAACGCATCGATTAGCTGGAGCTGCACATGCATAAGATCTGTTATTCCCATTTTGCGGCAACAAAAACAGACACAAATTCTTAGGAAGCATTAAGAAGTTATTCGTCTCCAAATACAGAAGGAACGATATAGAAAAACCGCGACCATTTCATAATTAAGTCGACCGATAATGGCCGATAATTCACCTACAAAATGTTTTATTTGCAATTGTTATGGCGCGGTTATTGAGTTTGCAGACATATCGACCCATCTATGGTGTGGGCTGTTTTTCAATGGTTTTTCTTTGTGGGTGGTCTGGAATTTGGTGAGAACGCTATTTGCTTATTAATGTCGCTAATTGCGCCGATCTAGTCATTTGGTTCGTTCTCACTATCGAATAATGTGAATTCCATCGGTTTAATTAGCTACGGATGCAAACTTTCCTTTAATTGGAAACATTTATTTTCTTTGTGAGAATATTTTTGTTTCAATGAGTTGCAACCACGGAGATGGGATTTACAAAATCGCTTTTTGTGAAAAATAGTTTTTTTATATTTTCATGCAAAAAAATGGAGCACTGAATTTTTAATGCAACCGTTTGAAGAAAAACGAAATATAACAGCGCCAGTAAATGTGCTTAGAACTATTGCATTTATTATTGGTTGGTTCAGTTTATAACGTAGAAAATCATTTATCTTTTGCGGTTTAAAAATTTGTATAAAAAAAACTATTTTAAATGACAACTTGTCAAAGCAACATATCCAAATATGTAAAACTGTATCAACCACAGACCAGGATTTCAAATAAGTCCAACGACATTTTTTGCTAATGTTAAAGTAGACTATAAGAAAAAGGCATTGATGAAAGATTCCACAATAGATGCATACATTTATTGCGGAATGTGTGTGGAACGAATGAGAATTAGATTCAGGTAATTGCTTTCATCAATATACAAGTACGAAAACAATATTTATCTACTATGCGTAATTATTAGGATAAAACTTAATGAGAAACCGAATAAATTAAAACTCAAATAAACACTTCCGACTTCGCTCATAAATTATACAGTTTTATTAATGCAGGTGCACGTTCGTATTTACGTAATATTTGTCGGAATAACATCACACATGCTATACATACAACTTCCTTACACTTATTTTTTTTCTTCTTGCAGGATGATAGATTTAATGATGAAATCGATACCATCACTGGCTACCGAACGAAAACCCTTCTTTGCATGCCCATCAAAGATACCAATGGGGATGTCATTGGTGTTGCACAAGTAAGTTTTTTAATTTATTTTTTATACACAGGGCGTTTGGTAAGTCGATGCAATTGTGGCGGTGAAAGTGCTAGTAATTTGTCTATCAATTATCCCATCGTGGGTGCTTAATTGATAATTTTGTTGTAAACAAAATCAATGTTATCAATATTTCGGAAACCGATCTGTACAAATATCTGAATTTTGAATAAATATTGAACTAAACAGGTACGTTCTTCTTAATACATGTTTTTCAGAACAGTGAAACTCTGAGGGCTAATAAATTCGGATCCGGTCTCGGAAGTGCCAAAATCTCGAAACCTGCACTTGCTTCATACATTCTCTCAAACACAAATTGCTGTTCAGTTTAACTACTGCTGTGAAGATAGTCACGTCTCTGGATAATTAAAGAAAAATTATTAAAGTTCGTAAAAGTGAAGTATGGTCCACCACTGATTTTTCTAATAATAGCCATTTCGTTCCTGTTCAATTTGGAAGCGAGCCGATTTTTCCTGTTGTTTTAAATTTTAAAAATCAAATCGACTTAATGGATTGCACCCGATTGCGCTAATCGGGTTTTAATTAATTTAAAATTAAGAACAGCACGAAATATTGTATAAATTATATTTGAAAAAGCGATTATTTACTGTCCAAGTTAGGATCAATCTTATAGTTTATTTCGTCTTTAATTAGAGATAAGATTAATTTAGAACGTTAATTAAACTAATTCTTCCTAATGAATCAGGAGGTTATTAATGAATTGATTTTTTAATGAATGCCCACATCAATCGTGAAAGTGAAAAGTTTGCTTTTTTAGAAAACATGTTTTGTTCTGTTTGTAGACAATAAAAATCAGTTGTCGTATTAATAAATTTAGGAAATATTAGAATTGGATTTTAAAATATTTAAGTAACCATTAGGCATAACACTGGTGCTATTAGGAAACCTAATCATAATATGGGGTACATAAATATGAAACTTAAAAACTGGATGCCGTGTAATTAATACTTAACCACTATTAAAAAACGCATCCTTATTATATGTAATGCGACGGTTTTTCTTTTAGGTTGCCTACAATTGTGTGATAAAGACACTTTACCACATGCAATTGCCAATGAAAGTTATTAATTACCGCACGTGATCGCAAAAATGCCCACCGCCGTTCAAAAGAAATATATAAAACGTATAGCCATTTATGACAGGTTATAAAACAACAATTGGAAACTTATTTAATTGCAACCGCATCAATTATAAGAGTAATTATATAAACGTGGACTCGTGCTTAAATAAAGTGTTTTTTCTCCTTTTTTGTTGTTCTCACCTCATTCGGGTTTGTGGATTAAAATCGCTCAAATATAATAACTAAGTAGAAACGTGTCTCTTTTGGCAATAGTTATGTAAATAATTGTTATTATACAATCTTGGGGTATTTTTCCCCTAAGTAAAGTTGCAAAACCGTATTCTACCATAAAAAACTTACCAGTTCAATTACATTTGAATTGAGATTAGTAGTGGAAAGTGCCTTTGGTATCAAAATGTTTGGTTTTTATATTATACGGGATGGCCATTTTCTGAATCTTTGTATGGGTAACTTCTACATTTTTAAAGATAGAGAATCCGTTAAATGGGCAAAATTGCGCAGAATTCGATTGCCGGATTAACGGATTCTCTATCTTCAAAAATGTAGAAGTTACCCATACAAAGATTAAAATGGCGACCCTGTATATGTCGAGAATAATTTTAATTGTTTATTGACAAGTTTAAAACCGAAAAGCATATTTTAATATCCAGGAAAAAAGTATAATTAACCGTATATTATCAGTATAGAGAGTATTCAGTTTCAAAACGACTCTCTTTATGTTTGCTTATATGGGCGTATACAGAGTGTTCCAACAGAAAAAGTAGTAATATTTGCGTTATAACCTATGGTACAAACATGTTTCGTTAAGAGACTTTGTTGGGTGACTATCTGCTGCAGAAATTCTTGTAATACATAACAGAAGGGTTTTCGAAACGGCTTAAGCGATTTTAGTGACATTTAATTCTTTGTGCCAATTACGTCGTTTTTCTTCAAATTTTTTAAAATTACTTGCACAACAAAACGTTTTTCAACTTTTCAACTTCTAACTAATTGCATATTAAAGCAAATATGCTCCCATTTTCAATGTTAATTAACACTCACATAGAGTTCCCTAAACTACCAGAGCACTGAATAACTTGTCTAACATTCACGGTAACTTTATCATAAATAATTTCTATTTGCAGTTTGAGCCTTGCTTCGACAGCACATACGCGAATTTATAAATCACTATTAAATTCCGTTCAATAAATTTAGCAAAAGCAGTTTGCCAGGCTTCTGAAAATCTCTAATCAATGTGGTGCTTTATTATTGGGTTTTTAGGCATTGTTTTAAATCAGCATGCATTTTTCCCTATTAAGATTCAAAGCTCGAGCATGCACGGAATGCGCCCAGTACTACATTATGCGCTGATAAATAGCCTTCACTTTCAGCTACACCGATTATCCGGTAATTTCTTCGGCATTTAAAAAGAATGATGGACGAGTTTTGGCATCTGCCACCGAATTCCAACTGTTTTAGAGCCAGACGCGTTGGTGCGGTTTTATATTATGGTCACACTTTATTTGTTCTTGTGATTGTGAAATATTCCGACTAATACAAAAACAGTCTTAAATTATGAATTTGTAGTCGAGTTTGTCACAATAAATACAACTCGAAGCAGGGAGAACTTAAGAATCAGCTAAGAACACCAGTACCTGAACCGAACAGCTGAGAAGAATTTCTGATCAAAAAACTGATTAATTGGAGAAATAATTTTGAAAGACAACCAAGCAAAGAACCTGACGAAAGTATGTAAAGGGTGAAGAAACTATACAAATGTGTAGTCATATCCAGAAATAGTCTAGAAGTTTAGTCTGGATGTCATTTCATCAAGAGCATAATGTTGAAACTATTTGGATGCTCAAAGCAAAGGTTGATCCCATATTTGTCACACCAGAATGGGAGTGGAACAGTAGAACTGCAAAGTTTTAGAATTTTCAAAACAAATCCATAAACGGCAAGAACTCGTTGCAGAAGTGGAAATTGTGGATGACCATGTACTTAAGGAGAGTCCAACCGCCGTGAATCTAACAAAATACGTCCAGATAAGCAAAACCCACGTTCGAAAAATAAGGAGTTTGTGCAGAAACAATTAAACTACAAAGTGCTGTATGCATATCAAGCAGGAAAAACACGATTCCCACTAGGTAAAAGTTATAAAATTACATCGATTTCAATTATGTCTAGTAGAACAAGCATCGAAATCAAAGAGGAATAGTGCTAATCGATTCAAAAGATGACAATTTAGATCAGTGATGGTGATATGGGTTGACTAGGCAACGATTACTTAAGATAAAGAAGTTTATATGAAGCAATTCCACGTATTAAAGCAAGTTTCGATATGTGGGAATCAAATAAACTAACGATAAAATGAATAGAGTGAGATTTACAGAAAAGATGGTAATCCAGACTTTTAGTTGAAGAAAGCTGAAACTGAAACAATTCTACTTTTTGTTCAATTACGGTTAAGCAGTTCAGTTGTAGAATATTACAAATAAAGCAGACCATAAGAGCACAGGCAAACGGCTAAATCTTTAAAAGCGGCATTCTTCAATATATTTTGACAATTCTAAAATATTAGAAGTCATGAAAGCTGATTTTAGTTTTGCAGAAACCTATGGGTTCTTCGGCCGAAAAAAAATAGTAGGTAAATTTGTCCATTTCATATGATATTTATATTATTTTAAACCTTTTGAAAATTACTTGATTAATGGAAGGTGTGTAAGGTACATATTTTGAACACAAAGTTATTATCTAATCGTATCACTAAATAATTGTATTTGCTGCTAAAATACTAACTTATTGTCGCTACTGACTTATATTGCACTAATAGTTTTATAGATAAGCTCTATAGATATGTTTTGCCTTTTTTTGGACCGAAAATGAGTGATACATTCAACGCATTTCGAAAAATTGTACTGAACAAAAATTTTAAAAGCGGCATTTAAATCGAAGCCCGCACCTTTAATTTAAACAAACGAGTAAAACCGCAGTACAAGAGTTATGCTTACTGCCAGGCTGGAGACTTTCCAACAGTTGAGTTTGGAAATACTTTTATTTTAAAAATATTTCAATAAAGCAACGAGTTTAACCTTTGTTCGTCTTTGAAGCAACCCTACATGTGAACATCATTAAATCGATCAACCAAATATGTAATCAAGTCGGAGAATTGAACAAAACTAACTCATATTTTGAATTGTGGGACTCATTTAATGTGGAAATCAATCACAGAATACACGTGGAAAAATTGTATATGGTTTTTCGTTACCTGAAAGAAACTACTACCTAAAATAAAGTTTATTAACTAGGTTATGTAAATCCTAGTTAATCGTACGAACTATAGTTTGAAAATAATGCTCTGCAAATTATCATTCCCATATCCATAAAATTCTCCAATTAATTATGTTTCTTTTGATCTCAATTTCTACCTAAAAATACTTGTTTTTGACTGAAAGTAGTACTAAAAAGTTATTGAAAAGTGCATATTAAGAGAGTGGGAGTTTGGGTCACATATAGGTCAAGTATATTTTGCAATATTCCCAGTGAGCAGTAGCAACTCGCTCCCGTAGTAGCAGATTTAATGATAAGTCCATTAAAAACTGTGTAAACCCAGCAAATTTTCCGCGTTTTAACATCACCTGGCAGGAAACACTCGTTATATTTTTCATTTATGAAGTCGAGCTTTGACGTCAACGAATGGAAAATGTGCATCTCGTGGCCCTCCTCTGTATTAACAGTGCAATTAAGATAATTGTACATTTTACCATTAGCATCGATTCCACTTTCGGTTTCACTCTGCTAGGAAAATAGTTTAATAACTGAAGATTTGATATAATCGATCAATTTTTCCATAGATGTATTTTAAACAAAAGCATGCCCTAGACTTGAAACGTTTTTCAACTGCAACTGGCACTGCATACATATTCAAATTTGATTGTTCTGGCAAGTAACGTTAATTGAAAAACCGGAGCAAAAAACTCCCGAACAACCTGAATTGAATCAAGGTGATGTTTAATTTAAGGCTCAATCCGACGCAGCCAAATTGAAATTTGCATTTTGCATGCGAATTAGAATTAGAAAAGTCCTCTCCTAATTGAATTACTCGGTTATGTTTGGAACCGAAATGAGATTTATTGTTCGCTAAGCTTGGCAGGAACCAATTGCAACACTGTTTAAAATAGAATGATTTGTGATTGGTGTTGATAATAATATGCGCCATGGTAAAACCATAAGTCCACCTAAATATTTGTTTGGCTTTTCAGGTCATTAACAAAATGGGTGATCAGCCCTTTACCAAGCAGGATGAAGAAGTGTTTTCCAGCTACCTTCAGTTCTGCGGTATCGGCCTAAGAAACGCACACTTGTATGAAAAATCGCAACTTGAAATCAAACGGAACCAAGTGCTGTTGGATTTGGCCCGCATGATATTTGAGGAGCAAAGTACTATCGAGCATGTTGTGTTTAGGATACTTACACATACTCAGAGCCTCATACAATGCCAAAGAGTTCAGGTAAGGACCCTAATTTAAATTTCCTATAAAGCCAGTGTAGAAAACTAAAGTTTCAGAAATTCCTGCTTAAGATAATATATTTAGTTATTTAAATCCAGTTTGGAAAGTTGGTGCTGTGGCATACTTTTACATGCATTAATTAGTGCCTTGATTCGATCCTATGTTGGTGTTTTAAACAGGAAGGCACGTCCCAAAATTAACTCTAGTTATACATAAATTACTAATACCATGCGGTATTATTCATTTGCTTTACTTCTTACTGCAATTTAACTTTGACAAAATAAATTATCCTTGCTGTGGTTCAAGGGAAAGTCTTTCGAAATCTTTTGAGATGTACATTTCGCTCTGTTGCTTTGATAAATTAAACCAGAGCACTAAAACCATAAACGCGGCCTGCGAAATTAACTTAATTAAATGAAATCGCCGCATTTTGGCACCAAAACTTTGTGGGATTTCAATAATTCTTACGACCTGCTTAAACTGAACCAAATTTGCGCAACATAAATATTGTTTACATGGCTTTAGACGCTTTCAGTAATTTATCTTTGAAGGCAAGGAAACATTTTTTTTGTTAAAGTGTTAACGTTTTTGTTCGAAATAATTGGACGCACATTTTTAAGCGAAAAGGTCCCGACAGAACTTAAACAGAGCTGGAAAAGCGAAATATGTTTTAATTAGTACCATGTTATTTTCACTTTATCATGTTTGTTTTCCTTGAAATAAAACATGTTTTTGCAAAGATAATTAATAAGACATTTGAAAAATAATCGAAATCGAAAATATTAATTCAGTTGTTTAGAGGCGAGTGTTAAGAAACAGATCAGCGATTTTTTACATTGTCATTCAATAGCTGTGCCTGATTGATTAATGGAAACATTGATCGAAAAACATATCTAATGGCTTTTATAAATAAAGTTCGAATGTAACGGATTTTAGTGATTCCATTACTATTTTCTAGGGATTTGAATGTATGCGCTTTTATTGTATTTGCTTCATTGAATAATATTATCCAATATATTATATTGATTGTTCTTGCTCGTTTAAAAATCCAAAGCAAATATTTAAATGCGCTAATGTTTTCTTTTCATCAATTCAGATTTAATTCCCTTGTGGACTTTATGCTCTTAATTTATGCGTTTGATATTATCATGATCTTTTCCATTGAATTGAATGAGTTTCCATTGCTGAAAGCAGTAATATGAATTATCTGTAATTAGCGGGGTCCCGTCTATCTCGTGTAAAAAAGAAGAATGTTAAACGAGTATTTCAATAATTCTGTCACTTATTCCATCCTCTATTGCCTTTTTATGAAATCAAATTTGTTTGTTATTACTTAAATTATTAATAGAGTTTTTTTGATAAGTTTCTCACTTTGATGGTTTCGATTTCCCGTATACCTTACCATATTATTTTTATGTTGACGAAAATGTATATGAATAAATTGAATCTATTTTATTTTGAAGTGCAGATTATTGTATCATTCGCGTTTCGTAAAAATCTTTTCAGGTTCCTAATGCAAATGCAATTTTTAGATAATTTTCAGCTCCTGTCCGATTAGAACTTAATGTATTTCACAATTACTTTATAAAGACTTATTAAGAGTGTATGTCCTCCTATTCCCTGCAGCAAGACAAATTCTGTTTTATGCTAGCTCCATTTATTAATAAATATTTAAGTGTGTGAGGCAATCGATTGAAAACCAAATTGAAAATAAAATTAACGTTAATAAACCGGGCCGACACTATTTAAGTCGGAGTTGAAATTAATAAAACACGATTGGTTAGTGTTGAAAGTTCAATAAAAATTATATAAAAAGTGTATTAATTTGAATAAGTATGTATTTTAGATTGGCATTCCTTGTTTATTTTCAAGTTTTCTCTCAATCAATTTGCTTAATTACTTTTTAAATCCCTTTGACATGAAACACTAATCTCATCAAAATAAATGATGGGAAAACAATGTATTAAGATGTTCTATTCATTTCGTTACGTTCCAAAAACACTCCACAACTTTGTAAAATTCTAAAGAGGAGTGCGCTCTAACTGTCGTCAAATTTTCTTCAAACCTTCAAAAATTAATTCAAATCACATAAACTCCTGAATTTTGCGCGCTTTGTAAATGTTGATTTGAAAATAAACGGTTTTACGCAACTGCATGCTCTTCAATAAAAAATTCCAACTACCAAACTAAAGCCAGGAGAAACTTGATACATTGACATTATGTAGAAGACGTTTTTTATTTAAATTAAATTTTGGCGTAAAAACCTGGAACCTAAATGTCTGATATTCAAATTTTCTGTGACTTTTTGTTACAAATCCACCACAGTTTATAAGATAACTGAATCCAATTACCAATTCTCTATATAATAATATAAAAACAAAATGTTTCAGTCGATTCATCGATTCGACTCATAATTTTTTTAACAAAAAACATAGATCTGCAACTCATATTTGCATATCAGTAAGTTTGATATTATTGCTGATTGTATTGAATACTGGAACCCAAATTTCAATATCTGAAACGGTTCTTTAGCGAAAAGCTTCAGATTAGCTTAATATAAAAATATAAAACCGCTCGAAATATTCCTAATGTTTAAAAATTAACTACGAAAGAACCAATAGCTCAATCGATACCAATTCCACCGTACGAGTGAGATGATGAATATGGGACTAAAAGTTCTACATGTACATAGGAACCAGGGGCAAAGTAATGCCAAATAGGCTTTCCTACTATAGACTATAGTATTTGGTAATGCTAAACTTACCGAAAGCCGCATAGTGCCGTCTGGAAAGAAAGAAGAAAATATGTTTAGTACAATGGGAATTCTGTCTAAAGCCAAACTTATTTGAAATCAGCAAAGCAAAGAGAGACAAATATAAAGAATCAATAAAACTACAATTGCTTGTCGAAAAACTAAACTCAGTTCAAGCTACAAGATTTATACATTAGACCATCCTTACTAGCTTTCTGCAAGCTGGCGCTCCATCCTCCATTTTCTACCCTAATTCTTTAGAAGTTCACAAACTACCGCACTTGCCGTAAGGTCCACAGTGGGTCTATATTTCTCATCTGAGAACACGATTCACCCGACACAAAGGAATATCGACCGATTTCGTCCACTGTCGGTAGCAAACTGAATACTTTTTCGAGAAAAAAGTGACTCCAAACTATAGAATATACATAATTATTTAATCATTTCGGGTTCGCCCTTTCGATGATTCATGCTTTACTCAGCAGTTTGATTTCAGTTTGTTTATTGTTGACATTTTGGTAGAAAGTGCTTCTTCGCACGGCAATATTTCCAAAAGAAAATTTCACGTTCCAACTTAACGAAAGACAACAACAACTAAACGAAAAACGCTCCAAGTGCCGATCTTTCACTAATTTAATTTTAACGGTGATTAATGCACAACGCCAAAACTAAAATTAATAAACAAATTAATTTTGTTTTTCTCAAAATATTGACTAAAGAAAAAACCGCGAAGAAACGCGAAACCGTAAAATGTTAAAGAAAAGAGACCAATAAAATTTCAATTAATTAAAAATGTCCTTTAAAAGTTCTGATTTCAAGGAAGTCGAATTATAGGCCCGATAATTTGATTTAAAAAATTTCATCAATTCTCCTCGATTTTCATTGTTCCGACTTTTTGTGCAAATATTAATATCCAAAGAATTTTCCGTCTGTTTACCGAAAAAATTCAATTAAGCATATACTATACGACGCTAATACGGCCATATTTTCAAAGATGCCTCAACCCCTCCAGCCCAACCTTGTAGGAAAACACTTCGGCTCGAAATATAATTTTAAAATTTCACGGTGTCGCAACTTCGACAGGCCATTAATAATTCATGGAACTTTAGCCCAGCTTTACCTTAAACGTATTTTACACAACAAAACCACCCCTTATGGAATTTAAATACTAAATTTATTGAGGTTTTTTTGCCAGACACGTGCCGAACTTTGCGGAAGACTCGGCATCCATTTAATGCCAGAAAACGCACTTTTAATGTAGGACGATTATGACTAAGATTTCCCAGAGAGAGAATGAAAAAAGAAAATGCGAAATTTTTCCTGAAATATTACGATTTTAAGACTATCGGGCAGATGCAGTGAGCGGGCGCGCCACAGTTGGAAATCATCCATTTAATATTCAGCCGATTTTTTTCTTCTCGAGCACGTAAATCATTAATTTTGGATGCGATAGGAAAAATATACTTTTCTGATATACAGTTTGGACAAAAAATCAGATAATAACTGAAAGTTTGTTGTTTGAAATGATTTTCGACATGGAGATGTTTCCGATCAGAATTAATTATTTGCCGACATTTTCTGCAAATATTTTTTACTGATATTCTTATAAAAATTAACATGATCAGAAATTATGTTAAACTTGTTTAAAGGTCGTTTACTAAAAATATGTATCGCGTTCAACTTAGAAGTATCATGCAAAATATACGGGGTGTTTTGTAGGCCGTTATATTTCACACGGCAGATTTCCGTTAATTTTTTTAAAAATATACAGTGTCGAAATAATTCGGACATTTTCAAATATAACTAAGGATTAGTGAAAACGAGTTTTAATTTACAGATAAAATAATTTACTTTGAAATTAGATATGAGAAAACTCGAAAATATTCAATCCATGTTATTAATATTTAAATAATCAGACAGATATAATCAGTTTCTCTGGATTCTTGTTCAACTTGTCTTCGTGTTCCATACTTTCTCAAAACTTCAATTTATTCTGCTTGATTCAGCTTATTTACGTATGTATTATTATTTAAGTATGTACTTATTTTAATTGAGATTGTCAGATATTTTTTACGCAATCGCCTAAATGTTTACATCTATTTTTGTATGTACACAAATGCCTGTGTCTACTCGGGGCGAGCAGAGTTTCCGCAAAATTTCGCTGATATATTTATCTCAAATACATTCAATATTTATAATTCATAATATTTCCAATCATTTCTTCATGACACGATTTTAGCAGTATCAACTAATAAAAATTCAGATAGACTTACCAATGACTATTTCTACAGCAGTCACTCGAAAAATCAATCCATCGTTAGTTCTGCAAAAAATCGAAAAAATGTTTGTTAGAATTCATCTTTCAGTTTGCTTCAACACTAAACAACTGATGAATTTGATTATTTTTTCTGCTGATTAGCTTAGTTCCTTTATTAATCTCTCATTATTACTTATGAAAAGCGCTTCAGATCCAGATCATTTAAATTTAGAGCAAATAGCGCAAGATTGCGTCGGAAAATTACTTTAGAGTAGCTGCTCTCCTCAGAGAACTGTTCCCAAAATGCGTTTTAATATAATACTAAATTTTTTTTATCAATTAGTGAGAAATCGATCAAATATTAACTTGTTTTTGAAATAATATCTTAAATATTAAAGACGAGTTTTCAATTTTTAAGATGCCTTAAGATTAAAAGTTATTCTTCTCGAAAGCTGAAAGAACGAATGCATAGTGAAGTAGGTAATTTAAATATTATTTTCTTGCTTTAAAACGTAACTTTTATATACCTAAGTTTATTTTTTCAAATCCAATTATGGACAGGAAATTGCATGATATTTGATCTTAATTAGTTAAAATGTTTTTTGAATTTCTTGCTTAAATAGTTGATTATGTTTTAAATACGTTCATTTTTTTACCTTTATCCATCAACAGGTTTTAGAGAGCTTATTAATAGTACTTTTTATATCAATTAGTTTTGTGATCAATACTTGAGTGCTTTGGTTTTTTACGTCTAAAAATTGCTACATTTTTCGGTTTAATTTTCCTCAAAAGCCAAACATTCTATCGCTTCCACAATAGTAGCCATCTGCGGAGAAATACTCCGTTTCCACCTTTTTTGAAGATTCAGTAAAATATACCTTCAAGCACTACCTGCCTGCAGTTTTTTAATTTCTATTCCAGGTTTTTGTGACAAAAAATTAAAAGTTGATATATTTTTATTCAACTGTTTAAAGGAAAAATAAACAGGATGTTTTCCTCATATTTTACCTTCCTTGAAATTTCAATTCCCTGGATGGAATTCGACTTGCATAAATGCATATTTGAGTCAAGGCTCCGAGTCACCAACAACATTTTTATGCATTTTAAAAGCCAAGACAAAAACTAAAATAAAAAATGTTCAATTCACGATTGTTAATAAAATTTAAGTAGAAAAAACGTATTAATTTTGACTATATATCAGTAGTTTGTCTGTGTGCATGTATATACGTGGTATGTAAGTGTTTATTTATTTATTTATGTATCATCCTGATCCATGTTTAATTAGGTACTAACTAATTCAAACACATCCTGATTCTCTACTTTCCTAACTCCCAAACTTGCTACAAAGGTGGATTTCGAATAACGTAAGGAGCATCAGGGACAACGTGTTCACCTTGAGACAGATTAATCTACTAATCTCTATCCAGAGATTAAATTGCGAAAGACGAGAGCTCTTTCTTCTGCAGCTTGACGACAAGTTAGTTCTTGTTTGTTTTGCAAGCTAAACAGGTTTTAAAGCAAAAATTGAGCAAACTGCTAAACTGTTATTAGTCTACTACCTTAAAGATACTTTACTTATATAGTAAAGTGTTCAAAGGGTGAGGATTATTAACTTGGAATTTCACAGAGACTGCTAAATGAGATACAGCAAATTCTATGTAAAATTGGAGAAACAGAAATGGCGTAAAAAGATGATGCAATTAGTCTAATTTAACAAAAAAGAGACTTTCACAATGTACGAAGTTAATCGGGATAATCTCTAAACGTTCATTTACTTGACTAACTTAAAGCAATTCTTGTGATCGCATAAACGGGTTGACGGAACAGTCCGGAGAGGAGATTAATGGGCCAATGGAAAATCCCTCAGCAGTAAATTCTCGAGATTGATGAGCGGTATTTCGGAGATTAGTCAATCCGATCGAGAAAATGACTTGTTGGTAACCCACTAAAGCCTTCAATGTTTCTCAAATAATTCAAAATTAAATATGTGTCTTATAAATTTACAAAAAAGTTAAATTTCCAACATGGTTTTCAGATTCTGTTGGTTCATCAAGGATCCAAGATCAGTTTTTCCAGGGTTTTCGATTTTGAAGCCAGTGATTTGAATGGCGAAGATGGCGAGTCCCGGACAAGGTAACAGCAATCAAGACTCTGATCTTCAATAAAAAAATAATAATTACATTTTTCTAGTCCATTCGAGAGTCGTTTTCCTATCAACATTGGGATAACTGGATATGTCGCCACAACAGGAGAGGTAAGTGCAATTCTCTGGAAAGTCTGCGAATATTTTAATTGTTGTTGGACCTATTTTTCAGACTGTAAATATTGCACAAGCAGATGAAGACTCCAGATTTGACCCCAATGTGGACGATGGCACCGGTTTCAAGCACAAGACCATTCTCTGTATGGCCATAAAAAATTCTTCGGGTGATATTATCGGTGTCATTCAACTGATTAATAAATTTAGTGATCTTCCTTTTACCAAAAATGATGAAAACTTTGTTGAGGTAAGATAATTCATTTTGTATTCAGAACGTCTCACAATTTATTTTCATTTGCATGATATTTATTTTGTTATCAATCTCCTTGCAGGCTTTTGCTATATTCTGTGGTATGGGCATCCACAACACGCACATGTATGAAAGAGCAATGGTGGCCATTGCAAAACAAAACGTTACTTTAGAAGTATTATCTTATCATGCTACTGCCAGTTTAGAAGATGCACAAAAATTACGGGTAAGTTCTCATTTTCCGTTTATTGGTTTAGTTAATGGCTTTCTTGTAAGAGTATTAGTACGAAAAGACAAAACAGTTTAGTAATCAGTTTCGTTTAATTTTTCAGAGCTTACGGGTACCTTCTTCAGTTCACTTTCGTCTGCATGACTTCGGTTTTGATGATATTTGTATGGATGACGATGAAACGTTGACTGTAAGTGTTTAATTTTCAATAAACCATTGCTGGCTGAAAACTATTTTATATAAAAATGAATAACGTTTAAATGCTACTTCATTGCAAAACAAACATGTTTTAAATACTAGTTTTGTTTATTTATTCATATTTCAGGCTTGTATTAGAATGTTTCTTGATTTGGATCTAGTCGAAAGATTTCACATGGACTACGAGGTCCTTTGTCGATGGCTGTGCTCAGTAAAGAAGAATTACAGAAATGTGACTTACCACAATTGGAGGCATGCCTTTAATGTGGCCCAAATGATGTTCTCGATTTTAACGGTAAGTTCAGCGAAATTAAATTGATTTTTTGCTACTAACTCGACGAAATATGTTCTCGATTTTCCCTTGTAACTCGAAATACCAGCTAGAAAATGTTTTCAAAGGGCGTTCAAATAAAGCTTATTTAAAATTAAATCGAAATTATGCAGAAAGTAACCAGTCAACTATTAAGTTTAAATTCAGCAGCTGCAAAGAAAGATGTGTTTGATGTTCATATGTAAAATAAGCAGAATTACTAACTAACTTTTTTGGAAAAGAATTTTCAAATATCACTGAATGCAAACGCAGAAAGGTTTTGTTCCAAATGTAAGTTGAAAATCGTCTTTTGTGACTAAAAATTCTTCTTTAAACGCCTGTTTTGCTAATAGTACAGAAGCTTAAATATCGTCTAATTGAACTGGAAATCGTAGGGCAACTATTCAATAATAACCACCTCAAAATCCTTTCAGGATTTTCAATTTTTTTAAAATTTAACCGATGCAAAGGAAGAAGGAATCAGTTGGTATACATAGAGAAAACAAATAGACTATTTTACCATTACCACAAAGGATTTTAGTTTTTCAATTGTGTGCTCTTCTTTTATGGGAAAATTCAATTTCTAAAGTATTTTTTCAAAATACTGTGAGGCTTAATTCAAATTGAAAAATATGGTAGATGCACCCATTTGATTACCACCATTTCAAAATCCCTTAAAAGATTTTCAAAATGCTTGAACAACAGAAGACACATTTGCGATTATACATATAGAAATCTGTATAGTTTCTCCATTATAATTACCATATGGAAGTAATAAACCCTTCAAAATTCTGGCCCGATACATACAAAATTCTGTCCAAAGCACTCTCCAATTAAGCCCCCCAAACCGACTAAATTGTAACAACTTTTAGCGACTCAAAATCGTCAAGAGAATCAAATACAATTAAAATTTTGTTGTAGGCGACCCAATGGTGGAACATTTTTGGCGAAATAGAATGCCTAGCGTTGCTAATTGGGTGCTTGTGCCACGATCTGGATCATAGAGGAACGAACAATTCGTTTCAAATCAAGTGAGTCTGCACCTGGACGCGATCTTCGTTAGCAGAACGTCAAACTGTTTCTTTTGTTAATTATCAGAGCTTCTTCACCGCTGGCACAATTGTACTCAACCTCCACAATGGAACATCATCACTTTGACCAATGCATAATGATTCTAAACTCACCTGGCAATCAACTGCTAGGCAATATTTCATCGGAAGAATATTCCAGAGTCATCAGGGTGTTGGAAGAGGCGATTTTATCGACTGATTTAGCTGTGTATTTTAGGTAAGTGGTAAAAGTAGAACTGTTGGAGATTTGGTTTGACCGTTATTGTGTGAACTTCAGAAAAAGGGGAGCGTTCTTCAACGTGGTAAGAGAAGGGCCATGCTGGGCAGTCGAAGACCACAGGGAACTCTTGAGGGCTATGTTGATGACGGTGTGCGATCTTGCAGCAATAACAAAACCATGGGAAATCGAGAAGAGGGTTGCCGAACTTGTTTCCTCGGAATTTTTCGAACAGGGAGACATAGAAAGGGAGAAGCTGAATATTACGCCGATTGTACGTATCCACGATTTAATATTTATTGATTTTGGGACAATATATGAAACTAGTTCCCCCACATAACATTCATCAATTTAATATAGGAGATTAATTAATTTTTTCTGTTATTGTTGTTTTCGCTAAATGTTCTTATCCAATTTATCTCAAATTGAAGCAGAGTGATGGAAAGTATGATAAGTAGCATATCTGGTTGGAATTATGATGGATTTTTTCCTTTTCAGGACATTATGAACAGAGAGAAAGAGGACCAATTACCCTTAATGCAAGTTGGCTTTATTGATTCAATTTGTCTTCCCATCTATGAGGTAAATATTTTTGCAAATAGAAGTAAAGTAAATTAAAGTAATTCACATATAAATACAAAAATATAAAAAATGAAATTATGAAACAAGCCGAGACCTTTAAAAAGACCTGAGCTCTTGTTAGGGCGACTTGTATCTTTTTGCTATATTGGAAGTATTTAATTGGAAACATCTTTTGATTTTTCCATATTTTTTTCGTAAAAGCAGATTTGAAGTGAATAACTTATAAGTGCTTCCAGTTATTTTTTAGTTTACATTTAAGAAAAAGCTTATTAGCATGGCAGCAAATGTGCGTACTAGAACGTCCTAAATATTTCGAAATTAAGTGGTTGTCCTCAAATAAAAATAATGCAGAAGAAACCTATCAAATAAAGGGTGTTTTTTAAAGATAAAGAACTTTAAACTTTTGGTCGAAAATTCGTCCCATACCCCAAATCATCGTTAAGCTATAATGGCATACAATTGCCTTTTCAATAAAGCCACTACCACAGTTAACATGATTTTAGTGAGTTTTATTTCAGTTTAAAGTTCGATACTTAAAAAAACCACGTTTTAGATAAGAAATTCTAAACCTGTTTTTGTATTTGAACAATCTGAATCGTTAATTTCTATAACGTTTTAATCATTTACATAAAACCGCGCAGTAATTATTTCTTTTTTATACTTTTATGAAAGATTGCGATAAAAAATCATATTGGTTACAACTGCTTTTCGTTAGTAAAGAAACTATTCAATATGCAGTGTTAATGTTGCTTTACGTCCCTTTAGTTGCTCCCAGTGTTTAAAAAACGCTCATCAACAAAGACGTTGGATGTTTAAATTTGTAAAAGAAATAATTTTTTTTTCGTTTCGTTTTTTTAGTTCAACTGTGAAATAAAATTATATGTCTCATTTTGCATGGCCAAAAAGGTAACAGTGCATAAACTTAGACTGGGACTGGGAATAAGAAAAGTTCCTTAAAACTTCGTTAACCTCCTTCCGTTAAACTTCTACTTCTTTATTTTTTTTTCGATTTTTGTTTAGTTGTTCAGTTTTTACCAAATATGTCAAAATACTTAAGATACATCAAGCAGCATAATCGTTTTCTGCTTTCTCATTTCTATCTCCTTAATACAGGATGTTTTATAATTTTATTATCGGTACAAATAATTTAAGTTTGTGTTTAGAAGGTTATTTTATAAACAGTTTTTTTCTATAATGTGGACTTTTCCTGTAGAAAGATCGACAGTCAAAACTACCCAAAGATTGAACATAAGCCAAGCAAATTTTGTAAAATCGACTCATTAGCACTCATAAAACAATGTTAAAGTTGATACGCAGATTAGCCGTTTGTTTAGTTATCCGTTTATATTCATACGTATAATCTGCAAAAAAAATATTTGTTTTCAAATGCTATTCAGAATGCCAAAAAAGGCAACAGTAAAAAAGTTCTTTATCGAAATATGGTGTGAAGGAGCTTTATTTCTCTGGGCATTCGCATAGTTCAAAATCGTTCTGGGAGAATTAAAAACAGGGGGTTCTTAATTTTTATATGGCCACCATAAAACATGTACGTATACAAAAATTTAAGTGTTTTGGGGTGTTTTTCATGGTGATTTTCCATATTTAAAATTAATAACCTTCTAAACTCACCCTTAAAATATGTCCATATCAATATGAAACAAACACCCTAATTATTCGTTAAAATAGAGATTTACCAAATATTTTTGCAAAAACTAAAACTCCTTAAAATTATCTGCATGACACTGGTTGAATTCGTAAGTTTTACATCTATGTTTGATTTTCCAGGGATTCGCGATGCTATCAGACAAACTAGAACCATTGGTTGTTGGAGTGCGTCAAAACAGAGATAAATGGATGGAAATAGCAGCCGATAACAGTTTGGTAACCACAACTCCAGCGGCTGTAGCTGATGCAGATGCGAAAGATAGCAACGATAACTTATCCAAGCCAAGTACTCCTGATTCGAAAAATGGAAATGTGAGCCCAACAGAGAACTGTAGAAGTTGCACCCCGATTTCCGATTAACCACGTAACACATTGATGAAAAGTGTATTTGGTGTACCATTCATACAAATACAGGATTTTTTCTGGAAAATGTCATTAAAATGGCCTAGACTCAATGGCAACACAATTTTACTCGAAAAAACTGAAAACTCTGGTAAAATCACCACTGTACATACCAAAAAATCCAAATCGGTAAAACATATATTTATTTAACATATTTTTAGATTGAAGACTTTAGATAGTGTTGGAGTTTTAGTCGAAACTAACCATATGATAATAATTTGCTCTAACTTTTTAAAAATATACCGTTCCTACTTGAATTACTCTTTACTGATACAAATCAGACCTCAAAGTGAATTTTGTTACTCGGCAACTTTACCAAAAAAAAGAAGAGATACATTAAGAAAAATTGAAACATAACTAGGTTTTATACTTATGATTTAACATTTTTTAGAATTTAACTACGCTTATATAGTTAAGGTTTTTTACTAATAGTCACATATAATCAAAATAATAATAACAAAATAAAAAAGTTTCTTGTGACGTTTCTGGTAATACCTAGTGGTTGATTTATTATGTCCAGAAATACTCCTAAAATTAACTTGACGATATTTTTGCCAACATTTGTTGTGGGTTGTGTTTGTTAACTTCACGTTATTACGGAGAATATTCAAAAATGGTACAGTTGCCAATAACTACTATATTAAGGAACCTAATATGATGCAACTTAATTTTAGTTATTTATTTTCTAAAATCTCAGATTTAGATTTATTTATAATTAAATTATACTGTATTTAGCTCTCTTTCAATGTTGCTGTGATATTTGCAAAAGCGGCCTTCAATATTTGAATACATCTGCGTAAAATGAATCCAGTACTTATCACTAGATCAAAATGTAAATAGTTTGCAATTTTTGCAAATCTCAACAGCAAAATCTTCCTTGAACATGTTTTTGTCTGTTTGTGATATTTCTTTACTCTGTTCAAACTCGTTTTGGCAGACGACCGTATTTTATATGGTATTAATGAACTATTTGAACCAAAGTGTATTTTGTCATAATTTGTTAGCAAAGTTAAAAATACCTATAGTTAGCACGAAGATAGGTGAGCGTGGGATCAAGTGCTGGACAAATTTTGGATGAAAAAGACCCTCCTTAGGTGCTTTTATCAATGCACGTTGTAAATATAATAAGCTTCCTTATTATGTTTCCTGGTAAAAATTAAATTTTCCGTTTTCTCATTAATGCGCCGCCTTTTATTACAATTAAATTTTCCAATTGCATTAATAAATGGGCCTCTAAATCAAATATACAACTTTTCTATTTGAATGTCTCATTGTTCGAGAAATTTAAATATACCTATTGTATAATAAAAGCTTTGACCTGAAACTCGTTCCACCTATTTTAGTTGCACAAAAGTGTGTAAATATTCTTATTTATTTAGTTTTCAATTAATTATAATTATACACTTGTTTAATTTTATTATTAAATCGTCCCTCTGAAAAATTGTATTTGGTGTATATAATATTGTATTGTACAAAATGACCACAATAATAAGATGTTGAGTAATATATTTATCAATTTACAGAAAATGTGTTTTTTTGGTAGAATTTGAGCCAGGTCTGGCTTACCGGAAATCTAAAAGTAAAAAATTCACAGAACAGAACTATTCTAAAATCGCAAAAATATTAGCACGGCTATTTTGTAAAAAAACTTTATTTCTTTAAATTTCATTCTTAGTTAGCTTGGCAGTAATCATTTGCACGAAATGGGCTCAAAGAACCCTATTCTAAATGAAAGTAGAAGCATGTTACATTTTTTTGGGGCAGATATTCCATTTTCCAAATAATTTAATTAATTAAATCCGATTATGATTTTTTGTAACTAACATTTAAGGAGTGACGAAAATTTTCTATAAATAATTCGGATGTGCAAAACAGGCTTTCGAATACAAATAGGGTACCATACACATATGTAACGCTCCTAAACCAAGCTAATGTTTAAGTTAAACGTTAAAAAAAATTATCAAGATAATAAAACACTTGTTTAAGCGAAAATCAGCTGCAAATGCAACTCTTTCTCTTGTATAGTGTGTCTCAACGATATAGTAAATTAATTTGAGCTTATCCGTAGGTATTACGCTTTACCGGGTGTATTTCGCCGGGATGCGCCATAAGCTTATGTTATATATTCTTCTAGAAGAATATAGTAGCGCATATTTTATAAAACATATTGACGATTATACAGGGTGCGCGTTAAAAGTTACAGCACAAAAAAACACGTTTTTTTTAGATTGGGACATACAACGTGTGCGAAAAATGAATGGTTGGATGAACTGACATAAACTTTTGTATGGTTCTGATAAAGCAGCATCGTAAAAATGCAAATTTTTATCATTCAAGCCGACGACAACTCACTTATCGTTCAAGGGACGACTTATCATTTAAGCCAAAGTTACAAAACTTCACAACGGAAATGTTCGCTCATACTTTAAACAGAACAGTTCAAAAATCAAATTACAAATAGGGTGCTCGATTTGAAAAATAAAAGGTTTTCTGTGTTGCGACGTTTTATCAAACCCCGCGTATAATTATTAATGCTTTTTAAATGTGCCTGTTTAGTAGCTTGACGATATGGCGACTACAGTTTTGCAACAAATACCGGTTTGGCGTAAACTTACTTTACTATATGAAAAAGATTTTTCGCTGCTTAAGCGGACAAATAATTTTTGAAATAAGAAAAGTTATTTGTTGTAGCAAAAATGGTAGATTTTTATGTACAGGATGTCTGAGACATAGTAAAGTAAATAAAGAATTTTAAGTGAAAAATACTTTTTTACGGCTTGAGCGGACAAATAATTTTTGGAATAAGAAAAATTATTCGTCCGCTTAAAGTAAGTTTACGCCAAACCGGTATTATTTGTTACAAAACTGTAACCGCCATATCGTCAAGCTACTAAACAGGCATATTTAAGAAGCATTGGCACACCTTAGCAGAAAAGTTGTATTAGAGACTACAGTGTGATCATAATAAATGTCCAAATTAGCATATATTAGTTAAAAATATAATTTTTTCAAATCTCACATCGCCATATATTGCCTATGTCTTTTATTCAGGCTTAGAAATCTTTTTATCTCATTTTATTTTTTGATAAATAGTGGTGTGTATTATTACAGAGAGTTATAGAAACTATTCTAAATTATTCGGAATGTAAAGGTATTCTAACCCCGATTAAAAGAAGCCCTCGATTAAAAAAAGAATACGGTATGGCAATTAAAAATATTTTGTAAAAATTGTTTTTTGGCTTTTGGTCGATTATCATGATCATCCTGTAATAGAAAATATAAATATTTTGGATATCGTATGTTAATATAGTATAAATACTTTGCCCTGCTAAATTTCAAAATGTTATTTAAAACAAAGTTGTCGAGGAAAGTGCTGCTTTATCAGAACAATACAAAAGTTAATGTCAGTTCATTCAAACCACTAATTTTTCGCTCACATTGTATGTCCCAATCTAAAACATCGGGATTTTTGTACTATAACTTTTATTGCGCACCCTGTATAATTGTCAATTTTCTTAATAAAATATGCGGATCTATATTTTTCTTATGGCGGATCCCATTTCGAACGAAATACACCAGGTAAAGCGTAATACCTACCGATAAGCTCAGATTAGGTTACTCTATCGTTGGGACACTCCCCATACAAGACAAATAGTTGCATTTGCACCTGATTTTCGCTTAAACAAAATTCGTTTTCATACATATCCAGTTTGTGTAGAAAAATTAAATCAAAGTCCAAAAAAATCGCAATTTTTCGTTAGTCTATTCCCTATATGATTAAAAAAACTAAAAACGCCTTTAAAAGGCGCGAAAGGATGGCAAATAGAAAAATCAAATGCACTCAACTATTGCAGATTAAATAGTAAAAAGTAATAAACCACCTCAACCCATCTAAAGCAAAAGTTGAGCTTACCCTTTACTGCCTGGAATTCGGGTTCCCGTAGCAAAAACACTCAAAAAAGGTCCATATCGCGAATAAAAACAAATAAAATATATAAACGGAGGCACAACTCTGACATCCCTCTAAGCTGTTAAAACAATGCCCCATTTACCAGAAGATGAGGATGAGGTGAAAATAATTTGAGCACTTATATTAAATAGCAGTGGGGATATAAAAGGTCCAAATATCACTGCTGTGCGCAACCAAATCAACTTGTCGGAGCATGTTTGTTTATATTAATAATACCGGTTTTTTGCCCAGGAAGGATTTGTAAGCGGTGTTGTTTACGTTTCAGAAAATGCTGGAAGTTTTCGTTTCGAAAATACGATTGAATTTGCAAAATATTTTCTGTAAATGCGTATAGGCCTGTGTTAATTTGGTGTTTTCGAATTAAATCTACCCTGCTTGAGTATTGGATGCATTTTTATACACAATATAATAACTGACAAATCCTTAAAGAAGCTGTTAGGTACAGAAACGGCTGATTATTCCTGTAAACTTTCCTTGCTATTTAAACTTACCTATTTTGATAGGTAGGTTTTATTTGCGTTGCTAGAGATCTTATATAATCAAAATAAAAACGATTATATTCAGGATTGACCTAAAACGTATAACCTAAAGTTGCTTCTTTTTTATAAATATTTGATCAAATAATTGAACTCCTTCAATTCTCAAAGAACGAAGGAAACATAAGATTTTCAGCTACATACAAAGCAAACAAGTAAATTTTAAAATGCAGTTTTTGAGTAATGCTTCTTCATCCCCCTGTTCGGTTATGCCTTTTTGCTTCGTGCAAAGACCCTAAAAATGTAGTGATAGATAGAACTCGAACACCAAACTTTTGTATATAAAAAATATTGAAAGTTGCACGTTAATTACGTTTTTATTGATCATCAATACTTTTTCCGAATTGATCGCACTTTTGCAACTTCTCCACAAAATAATCCACGTTTGTCGCATATCAGCTGCCGTGAATTACAGCTTTTTTCAACATTTGGTGAACATTTATTGCCAAATTTTGTATACAAATACCCATCAATATACGGGCAATTTTCAGGGATAGGAAGTGATATTAAAACAAGCATTTTTTGCTATGTTTTATGCTGTATCATACGTCCGAGGGCAGAGTTTGTAAGAAAAATTGGCTTTCATTAATATGTAAAAGAGGCGATTTCATTGAAAATTTTGGATTTTCTTGGCTAACAAAACATCTCTTAAATCGAGTGCTACGCTTTGCAACTTATTGGATATTGCTTTAAATCTAGTAACAATTAATTGCTTCGTAGGTAGTCGTTGATCGTATACATAACGTGGTTATCAAAAACTGAAAATTTCGTTAACAACTGATTGCAGCAGTATTTCAGGAGTATATTAATAAATATAGAAATATACAATTCCTTACAAATTTCAGCACAGCACATCTCCAAAAAGTTCTCGGTTTCGGACACATGTTTATATCCATACAAGGTGCCCCGTTAATACAAAATAGTAGTGCACCAAACTGGTTAGAAATAAGACAAAAAATTAAAATAGAATGTCTCATAAACGCATTACCGACATCGACTTTCATTTTTCAAATAACTCTCAAATTTCAACAATCATTTCTAAATTGTACATTAAATATTGTGATTTTACAATAGTCGACCGTTTGCTCATGCAGGTATTACCTGCCAAAAAATGTGTGATTTTCATTAAAACTGAATGAACTTTGAATAATTTATAAAAAATGCAACGGAGCAGCCAATGAAACGCTTAAGTAAGAAAAATGTTCCCCGATTCTTAAAAAAAATATTTTTAAAATACGCATTGCAACAGACACAATTCGCAAAAAAAATTAAACTGCTGTCAACGGTACGAGCAAACTGTCGTCTATAGGGAATTAAATGATTGCAAATTTACGGCAGAATTGAGAAATAAAGTGAAAATATATTTGTTTTTAAATAAAAAACATAAATATGTGGGAAAATATTTTGATGAGATCGGAAAATTAAAGGTAGAAAGAACATAAATTCAATAAGGCACTATCAAGAAAGGCGTATATACAAGTATAACTGATTACAACAAAAATATTATTTAACAAAATGTGTTGTAAAACTTAGCAGTAATCACCATGATTATCATAATCTCTATTTCCATTAGTTAACTTGAACACTAGATGATCCACTTCATCTAATAAAAGCCGAAGCTCGGCAAAAAGTAAAAAGTTCAAAATACATTATAAAACAATATAATTATAGATCACTGTTTTTTTAAATTTACCAGAAAATTGAAAATAAGATTTATTAAAAACCAAACTGGGTACTTGTTTCCAGCTTAGGAAGTATGTATGTTAAAATTAAAGGAAACAGGATCAATTTTCGGTGACAATAAAAAAACCGCTTAATTGTCAATACAAAAATAGTGTATTTAGATATTAACAATCACAAGAGCACATACCTACCAATTGTTTGATTTCGCCATTGGTTCCGCTGGGCAATACAATTACTGATTTTAATTAATCAGGAAATAAAATAACGAATTATTTATGTAACATTATTAAATCTATATCAACAAATGTTCCTAATATAAATGTGAATTGAGTTTCATGTTTAACTCACTACATTTATTATATCGGTTTTCTAGAAAAACCTAGGATGTGTTTCTGTGTGGCACGTCATGATCCTAAACAGCAAATAATTCAATATTTCTCATAAATGCTCAAAGCATTTAACTATTCATTATTTTGAGCTCTTAGTGTGATATTTTTGCGACTAGCAGTTTAAGACTGAAAGCCTAAGGCAAACTCATACTTATTAATTTGTACAATTAATTCAAGTTTGCACTATATACAGCAGAGTAATATCATTAGAATTCAAAAAATTCTTTAACAGTCCATAAAATATTACTTAGTCTACAATCAAAAATATATACTCTCCTATATTTAATAAAATATATCAACTAAACATGTATATGTAGATATAGATGTATTACTAGTTCGCAAATGCGCCTTACCTAGGAAAACGAAAATAAGGGGAAAATGAATAGAAAGTTAATTAGTCGACCTACAGTTTTTAACAACAGAAGCGCTTTTCAAATCTCTTTTGAATTTCAAAAAGTAATAATTTTTATATCAATTTTTATCACGACAAATTGAGCCCGGAGACAGGCAGTTATGTACTTAACAGACAAAGAAATACAGTTGAACATAAACACGAGCACCATAAAACTTATTAAGAATTATTATATTCATTATAATGATAAGTTGTTTCTTCAAAAAATTTTCATTGAAGTATCTATCATTTGTAGAAAACGCTAGGAAGAATGGCAAATTGAAGATCTTAAACATATTGAACTATTTTAAAAACCACAATAAATTTTCAAAAAAGATCTAACAAAAACTGCCGACGATCTTATGTAAAATATATCTATATTCTTTCGCAAAATATCAATAACTTACCAGGCAAATGTGCCATTTGCGCACAGCAACTATAAAAATTGCATTATGTATATCATGGTTTCAATTTGTAACCTTTCAAATAGTTTTAACCGAAATAATAATTGAGACTGGTTAGCCCTTTGTCACTTACAAATAAGTAGATTTGCTACATTTGCAATTACGCTATCACTAAATATAAACCTCACGCCATACTGGCCATTAAAAGAGAAGCGACTTAAAAATAGTAAAATATATAGGCATATAAAAAATGGCAAGTCTGTATTTTAAAACAAAACATTGAAATGATTCATGAAAAAACTGCACGGGTCCACAACCCAGTATGCTCATCTCTTCTATAAAAATGTGGCCGATTATCCCCAAAAACTGTAACTGCTGGAAATGGGTGCTCTCTAACGTATATCAATGCGGCCCTTATTTCATCGACAAACTGAGGTGGCTCCACGTCTGGAGATGTGGATAGAAGTCTGCGCAAATATTGGAATCCATAAAATCGTTTTTGTTTTCACTTACCCAAATTAAAATTACGATTCCTTAACGCGATATAAACACATATGAATAACGTCTATAAAAACGTGTTCTAGCCGTTATCAGAATGTTTAAGTCAAGCGCTTTTAATTGTGGCTTGTTTATATTGATTTTGGTTGTGTTGATTTTCATTTTTTACCACAAGAAAATCTGTAGATATTGATATCAAAACAAATAAAATAAGAAAATATAGATATGGAATTTCGGTTGAAATAATTGGCCACTATAGGCTGCTCTAAAACGCTCTTAACACCTTGGATATTAAGAAAATTAACATCAACGTTGTTGCTTACCTTAGAATACATTCATCGTTTTGTTCCAACCATAAGTCGACACCTCGAAGGGGCTTGTAATTAAATGGCCCTATTCTTAATAAACCCATGTTACAGTCATAGATGTCCAACACTTCGGCACATCCTGTTAAGTATCTTGCATTTCTCAAAGACGATTCCGGGCCTTTGTCTGGAAATGTTGCCGGAAAAATCTCTCCTGAAAGCAACACAAATAATCTGGTTAAACAAAGAAGCATTTGGGATCAAAAAGTCAATTCACTAATGTTCATTACAATTGAAAACCTTCAGGTATAAATATTATTCATTTGGAAATTAGAAGCAATAAAAACATTTTAGGTCACTAGAGAAGTGATATGAAAAGTGAAATCAAATTTGAATAAAATGCAAAAAAATGTAAACATTCACCTGTTTTTATGTTGATCCCTACACCATAAATGAGTGGCCAACTAATTCCTCCTCTAATAGTAGTGTTAAGTTGGCCAATGCAGGCCAACGTTAAATCAATTTCCATTGGTTGCTTATGAAATGAGGTCATTAAGTTGATAAACAAGTCCTCGGAATAATTGTTTGGGTCGCTGTAACCGCCGACCAATTGAACCTCAAGCCTGCCTTCTGGATATCCCAGAGCCAGATCTTGCACGCGTTGTATCATTGTGCAAACTGCTTCATCAGTGCCAGTCCCATCGAGATGGGCTAGAGCTACAGCTCCAGATCCTAAATGGGTTCTCAATTTCAATTTCTACCTATATTAAGGTACTATTTATTATATTTTAATGATTTGTATTAAATACGTGTTTTTTCTTAATTTGATAGCTAAAACTCGTTTAGTTACGCTGAACAGCTGCGATTACAATAACATCATGAAATCAACTACAAAATGAACTAAAAAGAGGTGAATTCTGCAGAAACAGCAACAAACACCAATTAAATAACCTGTTTCAAATAATTTTTTGCAAATTATTAAAATTAAGTGGATATTCGCTTGTTCGGGGCTTTTTATGTTTGTCATACATTTTGCAAAAAATGTTACAACAATTTAAAGATAATATTTTTGGTCAATTGAACAATAAACAATTGATCCCAGTTACTAAATAAAACCGTACATTTTTTAGAAGTCAGAGTCAATTAAAAATTACACCAATATTTTTTATCAATTTGACGACTAAAAAATGTCATACGAATTAAAATCAATCAGACTAATAACGAATTGGATATGAAAAATAACAAAAATTCCGACAAAAAAATCATTTTGTTGGAAAATAAACAGCTATATAAAAGCTAGATCTGTATGCATTGTCCCACATTTATCAATATTTGCATCATAAATGCCATTCAGAAAAACAGTGCACAGGGTTATTGATTGAACATTGGCCACCCCGTTTTAACATCGAATTTCAAAATTAGAGAAAAATGTTAAATAGTTAAAACGTCTAGTTTATTTTAAAAGTTATCTACAACTTTTGTATCTGATATTTTGCTCTAAATTTCTGATTAGCTGCAAAATCGGCGTGGCCAAACTTCGATCAATATTAGTAATTACTAAAAAACAGATGAAAATCACTATAGAACATTTATATCGAATGGGCCTACAATTTTAGGAATATCCCGAATATGCAATATAAAGTACGGCCTTCCATTTGAAAAAAGGTAAGTTTGGTCTGTCACTTGAATTTAAGACACCCTATATCAATTGATACCATCTTAAAATAAGCTAGACGTTAATATCTACACCTTTTGTATTTAACATTTTTCTCTAGTTTTCCAAGAGTGGCCAAAGTTCACTCAATAGCCATGTGCATAATTTAATTGGATTTATTTGTCACTTCCTACAATCGATTGGATAATAAATAACTAATCCTAAGTATTTCTTTAAAAAATTATATACTTACAATAAAAACGAAAAATATACCTAGTAAGAAGTAATTAATTTAATACTTTGCAAATTTGGTGGTGTGTGTATTCACTAACTGCCAATCCTTTGCTTGAAGTAAAAATTTAATGGAGGAAAATAAAGCACTTACCAGTATGCCTCACAACAACAATAAAACAACTTGTGGCATTGTCTGAACCCAAAATGGTAACATGTTTGTCGTGTGGTACAGTAGAAGCAAATTCTCTCTGCTTGACATACAGCAGTCCTACAGGACCAATTACCTGAAATGAAAATATAAAAACGCAAAATTAATAGTATATTATTAGTTAAAAAGTTAAAACTTTATAGGTCTTAACCAACAAAAAACAGTTTAAAAATAAACTTACCTTAGTTTGAATGGAAAGAAGTTGGCCAGCCGAATCTCTATAAACTGGATGCGAATTATACAGACTTTGAGTGTCCTGAGGACATTTCGCTTGCAACACGCCATTGAGCACCAGTACCATAATGAGTTTTAAATATATGGGGCTTGCTATCTGAAAAAAATCATTAAAATATTAGGTAAACAGATTTTGCAAACCATTTCTCTGATCTAGTTCATGCATATTAAGCAACTCAAATACTGGGTAACCAGAATTTCCATTTAAACAATTAGAAGTTGGCCAAAACCGTAGTTATTTTAATACAAGTCTTAAATTTGTAAAAATATAAATAATAATAAAATAAATTTGTATAAATTATATTAATTGGCAGTGCTGTCCTAATCATTGCGTCCGTTATTTTTAGGGCCAAAATGCTAAATTAAGTATTTGAGGAAATATCGATACTAATAGAGGGTGAAACCGCAGTAAAGACCAAGTTTTTGATGCTTTTACAAATTAAATATTCAAAATAATCCACAATTATGATAAATACCCAATTGAAGTTTGCTCGAAATTTTATTACCTACTTGTTTTACTTCTTACTCCATTACGTGACCATCGGTTTTATAACGTTAATAAATACACCCACTTCTAAAAAAATGAGAGTAATTACTTGATTATTTGATAAAGTTCAAAGTAATCTAACTTTTAAACTAATTAACGAATTTTAATATATTTTAGTAGCTCAATGCCTTGGCTATTTATCTCAAAGAAATGAAATATTGATCATTCATTTTCAATGATCATTGGGAAAACATCAAACTCCGTTTCTCTCATTTTTTTGAAACACCTTGTGCGTTACCGTTCCACTTGAAACCAAAATGCAGTCAATTCTTTCGAACTTGTGTATTTCGTAAACGCTTTTTCAATCACTTTTTTATTTAAAAAATTAACAAAATTACAGCTTTTTCTAGAAAGTGATTAACTGAGAATTCACGCTCCCATTGCCTGCAATCCAATCGTTGAAATAAACTTCTGAAAGACTTGATCTGTACTTTCATTAATCTGAATTTTTGTAATAAATCTTTCAATTTTTCCGAAGAATTAATATTCCCGAAATACTTAGTTGAAGATAAGTAAGTGTAGGACATTGAAAATGAAATGTAAGTATGTATGTGTAAGTGTCAGAAGTGTCCAACAATTTACTAATAATACATGTTTCATTTAAATTGCGAAAGTTGGTAATGGCCCCTGTTACAAGACCGCCTATAAAAAGTTTTGGTTGAAAAAATTAGCACCTAAAAATGCTAGTTGACGTGTCCAAGCGTTTTTTTGAACCAGCCTCTATTTATTTATTATCCAATTTACTCCATTTCGTTAATACACACTGTACGAACAGTGCACGATTTTTTTTAAAGTTCAAACAAGCATCGAAGAAAATGTATATATGTATGTAAACAGTGTTGGGATGTGATAACACTGGTTTGACGTATCCACACATTATTAATAATGAGTTTTAGATAAAAACTAAGCATATCCATTATTAATTAAACGCATTTATCTGCCACTAGGCCATAGAGTGATACTTACATGGATTTTTTTTTAAGAATATGCACCACACTAATAACTATTGAAGACTCGATTATGCAAATTGCGTATTTGGGATAAAATACACTTTTTAGAAATGTTTAACAGAACAAAAACTACTGCGGGGTGCACTTTAACTGCTACATACCTAGTTGACTAACAGATCAACAAGGAAACCTGTTGCATCCTGCACTATCTAACCGATCGTTTGGCAATTTTCTGACTTAAAACCCAAGACAACAATTAAATTAATCAATATAGAACACAACTTCTAATTAGCTGGCATAAAACGGAGCATGATTCGCCAATTAGTGGTTGAATAGTTTGTTCTTGGATGCCATATTACTCATAACTTATTATAACCTACTGAATAACTTCTAAACGACCATTTCTCTAATAGCACATGATAATAATCAAAATATACTAAACAATGGATAAATATTACATACCTAAGGAAGTGTAAAATGTTCCTGATTCACCAGCACCGAGTCTTTGATAGGAATACTTTAACTATTCTTAATAAGGCCTAATTAAAGAAGGTGTCGTTGCCTTAATCAGTTCATTAGGGAGTATTGACGTGAAAAAAAATGCATAAACTATACGATCAGGAACTCACAAGCAAAATGTATCAACTTAAAGTATTTAAAATTAAATTCACTCCAATCAGTACAAAAGACGATTTTTCACTTTTGGGGCCATAAAAAATATTTACAAACAAACGCGACGTCTAGTGTGGGTGTGAAGAATGAAAGAGCTGTCAATTAAATTGTCAACTGCGTTTCGCCGCAAACCACAATACACGTTTCATGCAGGTGCACTTTTTCGTGCGCTTTTTCAAATTATTTCCATCATTATTTCTGCAGAAGATTGATGATCAACATGGTTTTTGTTGCTCTACAGCCGTCCAAGTGGGTTTTATCAGTCAAATGTTGCATACAATGTGTACCACAAGTAAATTCATAGATAAAACAATTTTCAACCTAATGAGGCTTTGATAACGAAAATCAACAATTAAATATAAATGAATGGACATCATAAAAAATATGTGCTCCCGAAAAATAAATCTTTATTGAGGTCCTGCGTTGACGTTAATGAAGTGTGCTGTTTGTGAACTTGCCAAATAAATAAGACGAATATTTTCCGTTATAAAAATAAAATATGGCATCAGTCCAAAAACACGAAGTTATCATGTAAAAATGTTAATTACCTACCCAATGTCTTGTTGCAAAACGGAATTTAACGGTATCTCGTTTACACTATTTATACGGTTTTTTTGAAATAATGTACAATTATTTTATCAGCGTCTTTAGAAGGGAATTTTTAAATTTTAAACCGTTTTCAGCTGATGTTTTATGGCCTTCTTGTCTGCTGGTCATACGTCCAAATCAGGGAAACATTGTAAAGACCCTTGACACTACATGGCATTTAAAAACTTTCTTTATTCTCTGTTTTTTCGTACCCTACAAACACAACAAATTTGTGTCGTTGTGCCGTTCATAGTTCAATAAACTTCGTTTTGTTTTGTTAATAAAATTTTGCTCGCGCTCCTAAAAATCCTTATTAATTAAGAACGATTGTAAAACTGACACTTTCCAAAAGAAAAAAAAAGAAAAATTGAATGAAATGAATAAAAAATGAATTGTTTTATTTTAATAAAACAAAAGGTTATAGATTTAATTTAAAAAAATAGTAACCATTGCAAAAATAAATTCAGCAAAAGGTAAAATACCCACATAGCAAAATGAGATTCCCAGAATATACCTGGAACATTCATGTGATGTACATGCATATTCCTGGGACATACATGAGTTACATTATGAACATTCCATGCATGTCCCAGGAATCTGTCAGAGTTAATACACTAAATGTTCATGGTATGTTCTGGGAATGTAGATGGTATGTTCAGTGAATGTACAAGTGTATGTTCTGACAATGTACCTGGTATGTTCAGTGAATATACATGTGTATTTTCTGAGAATGTACATGGTATGTTCGGTGAATATACATGTGTATTTTCTGGGAATGTACATGGTATGTTCGGTGAATGTACATGTGTATGTTCAGTAAATGTATACATATGGTATGTTCAGGGAATATACATACATACAGGGTTATTCACGCTATACAGCACGGACGTTTGCGGATAGCCCGTTTGTTTTTTGCAAAGTATTATTTCATGAATCCACAGACGCCTATAGGGTGCACATTTTAAAAATATTTTTGTAATGTACAGAGTGTCCCAAAAGCCCTAAAAGTATCAAAGTTGTGTTTTTCTAAATGAAATACCCTATA